GGATTATTGGGCCGTGCATTATCGGGTCGTACATTATAGGGACCCTTATTGACTTTTCGGGACTTTTTTAACCAAAAACTGTTTTCAATGATTTAAAGTTCGCTTTACTTCATTGTGATTGGTGAAATTTTGGTCTATTTAAGATTTTGACCAATAAGCACCTTAGAAACCAAGAAATCAAAATGGAAAAACGCTGAATATAAACAACGTCAAAATCACCGTGTTTTGTTAGCATTTTTCGATTATTTCCCGCCGCTTTAAAATAAAATTATGAATTATAAATGAAAAATACTGTGTTTATCATAAACACATATTAAATAATTAACTATTTTTAACAAAACACCAATATGGGAGTAAGTATTTCTATAAGTCTAAAATTTAACTTGGAACAAAAATTTGAAAGTTCAGATTGATTTGTTTTTTATTTCTACAATTCACATTTTCTTATCGTATATGAAACTTAAAAAAATCTTTAATGTTCTTTAGAAAAAATCAAATGCATCAACCAACAAAAGTAAGGAGAAGAGACAGGCGAGGAAATTGGAACAACGTCGAATAGCAGATGGCATGAACAGCGTGACTTCAGCAAACAAACTGACTGATCTGGCTACTTTATGTAGAGAACTATTGGTGTATCGTAATAAGGACATGGAAGTGGATATGTTCATACAAAGGGTTACTGAACTTGACAAGAATGTGCTGGACTGGGCTATTAATTTAACTGAAAAAAATATGAAAGAACTGTAAGTTTTATACATATAACCAAGCAGATAAAAGACCTTATTTTGAATGACATCTTGCATATTTTAAACAAAAATACTCTAATACAAAGCCCATTTTAATTTGTTTGGAAAAATAACAGGGGGTAGCAATAATATTTGTCTACTCTTTCATTGTCCATTTAGATTTTTTGAAAGTGTGTCCGGAGGTGGTTTTAATTTATTATTTTCTTTTTATAGACAGTATATTTGGCGTAAAATCTTCTTAAAGTTTATTTAAAAGTCGCTGGCCTGATTTCAAATTGATCTAAAATTATTTTCAGATATGAAACATGCGCTTGGGGCTGGAATCCCGATCGTAAAGTTGAAGAAATGACTGATGACTCCGCATGGTACCTGGTCGCTAAACAAAAAGACAAATTGTTGGCTTTCTCACACTTCAGATTCGATATGGATTTTGGTGAACCAGTCTTATATTGGTAAGTCAACATATTAACTGATCTTTACTAAGATACTATCCCATGCGGCTTTATCTGCATAAAACGATGAAAATTTTATTTTATTGTTTACATTTGTTAAATTATCAATAGCCAATATCAAAATGACATGACATTACAAACTGTGGCAATCTTCCTTGATGTTGGCAGCAACTTATGATCTCTTTCCCACATTACTGTTTTTATCCAAAACATTTACCCCCTAAGTTTAATGTCGTGAAAATATATAGCCTAAAGCGTAACATGTTATTAAAGAAAGAATTATTCAAAAATATGCTGTAATTGCTGACATCTTAGGCAAGAAAGAATTGTGTGTTTACGCTTTATTATAATAATATAGAAGTATAGATTAAAGTCGGTAAATCTTTCTTATATTGATTTAAAGTGAATTATGTGGCAGTTTCATGATAGCTATTGCAATAATATTTTATTTGATTACACAATAAGTATACACAATTACTGTTAGATGTTTACCATTTAAAGTTCACCTTGACATATTTTTCACTAAGAACAATATATTATTGCCTTGGAAATGCTTATTTGTTCCAAAGGAGATTGGAAAGTCTGAAGATCTGCAATCTTATCACAATTATAACATAAAAACAAATCTAGTAAATATCTTACACATTTATTATTTACATTTAAATATATAACAATGAAGCTACTAACACACTGACTTATTCTTAATTACCTTTAAATTTATATAACCAGATAAAGCAATGAAATAAACTTCTATTCCTTCTGAAAAGCCTGTTTTCAAATACAAGCTTTTCTTTAGGCCACCACCGAATACATCTTGTGCAAAGATATCGAAACATTAAGTGTAGAATGAACACTGTCAGTAGTGTTGCAGCTATGCTAATTGCTATTATATCTAATAATAAATATTGTATAAGAGACAAGTCTTGAGCAGGAGAGCGCATATGAGTAGCACCCTGATGTCTCAAGACATATTCAATCCAGTAGACAGCAGTTTCCAGAGGTGGTAGTGGTCTGTCTAGGAACTTGGCTTTTAATTTCATAGCATTCTGTTTATATCTGAAAAAAGTATAAGAATAGGTATTGTGAGATTGTACTATTTACTATTGCATTACACAAATATTGTTCATTGATTAACATTTTTAGTACAACTAGTGTAAAAAAGGTATTATTTTGTAGCAGAGTAATACTGTTCCATAAATAATAAATAATAAATAATAAATTGATTTAAATAATTAGAACCTCTATTGCCAACTCACCTAGAGTCAGCAATAGAGGTTCTTATTCTTCGATTTGTTCTTCAATTCTAATTCTTCTTCAATTAAGTGGTTTACTGATAGGCAATGCATCTGCAATTACCCATGGACGGTGGTCACTTCGCTATTTTAGCGTTATATAGTGGGTGCTTGCTTGTGTGCCGCTTATGTTAAAAAAAACTGGGTAAGAACCAAGGAGAGTTTATTCATAAAAGTAATCTATAATGAAGTAGGAGTCAAAGAACACTTTTAGAATTAACTAGCTGTTCCCGTGTGGCTCCATCCGCATGAAATTATGAAAATTTCATGTTATTGTTCATGTTTGTCAATTTCTTAATTGCAAATGTCAAAATGACATGACATGATGTCAAACCATGGCAACCTTGCTTGCTTGATGTTGGCAACAACTTATGGTCTCTTTCCCACATTAGGGTTTGTATCCAAAATATTTACTCCTAAGTTTAACGGCGTGAAAATATATAGCCTAAAGCGTGACCTAAGTGTAGGGCTTTTTAATAAAAAGGAGTTATTCAAAAACATGCTGTAATTGCTGACATCTTAGGCAACAAAGAAGTGTGTTTACGCTTTATTATAATAGTATAGATACAAGCCTGGTTAAAATGATTTGATGTTAACTGCTACACTAAGAGATAGATTTAGAAAATGAACTCTCAGTATGGTAAATCCTTTTGAGATTAATTAAATGCTTTTTAAGCGTCATTTATCTTCGCACTTCGCTTGTCTAGCTAATTAAGATTTGATTTTTTTATCAACAAAAAGAAATATTTTCTACGTGCATTAATTTATTGAAAGTTAATAAGGTTATCATGTCAACCTTTGTCGCTATACAAATAAAAAACATGATAATAGGTGCAATAGACTATGGTCATGCACTTGTGCTGTGATTGCATCTAGGACTGCTATGAGGCAATCGCTAATTTCCGTAAACCTTGACGTAAACCAAGATGGTATCGTAACCCAAACTGTGGTTCAAGAAATACTTTTGTAAAACCTAAGTTCCATATTATGATATTGACAAGTGAGGTATTGCGTGTTTATGCAACTTTTACTGAGTTGATTACTTTTACTACGCCGTCGTTCCTAATTATTTCTACAATTTATCATTGAGATGGTTACAAAATATCGTTGTTTACTTAATATTAAGACTTCAAACATGTTAAGAGTGCTGAGTAGAGGACCAACGATTGGTATGAAGTTACTTTCGTAGACGTGGTGTTAAATGTTGATACGTAAATGTGGCTTTTGTAAAGATTACACTTTGCTTGGTACTTACACTGGATTTTTTATCAAATCTTGTAGCGCTTCCCTCCAGCTTTCTTTGTTCGAATCTTTGAGGGTGAGAGTGAGTGCGACGCCGCGGTCTCGCATGGCGCGGCCGTTGAGCGCCTGGTCGGCGTACAGGGGTACGGTTAGCATCGGCACACCGCACGCCACCGCTTCCTGCGTGCCTAGTAGACCACCATGAGATACAAACAGCTTGGTGTTTGGGTGACCTAAGAAAATAAAATTTATAGATACGTATAATTGAAAACACTGTGATCGCCATTTCGTGTGTAATTGTTGTAATGTTTTTGTCTTTTATGTATTAAATCTTACATAATGTTCTGTACTGCGGTATCCAGTCCATTGTATAAACGTTGTCTGGTACAGTGATATTTCTCGCTAACATTCTTTTGTTCATTTTCACCAGCACCGTCTGAGGTAGTTCTGACAACACATCGAATATTTGCTCCAATTTATTCTTGGGTATTGTCTCTATTCTTGACATAGATCCAAAACTCCAGTACACCACGCCACGATACGATTTGTCCAGAATGGTCTTCAGTTCCTGAAATTAACGAAACGTTTAAATAAACAAATATTCGACCTTCATGACTTAAAAAAAGAGAATAGCTATTCTAGTAGAATAGTATGTATTTTTATGTTTTTAGTGAAATTTTAAACTAGGTCAAAGCATCTGAATGCAAATTTCTTGGTAACAAGTCCAATAGTGCAATTCGGATGTAACGGTATAATTTATTCAACATTATCAAGTCGCAATGGGCCTAGGGTCGAGGGTCGGCGCGATAGGCGGATTCCCTTCTGCATTATGTTTTATGTGGGTTAATAGTTATTTAACAGAATAGATTGTTACTTATGAAACTGTCTAGTAAACAATATCTTTATCTAACCTTCAGCGATTTAAAAGATTAGTATTTTAAATAACAATTACTCCAGTTGGTCCCGCGAAGTAGACAGCATCAAACATAACAATGTGTTTTATTTTTAATGTAACAAACTTATATGAGGAATTTTAGCTAACACTTCCACAATTTTTCGCTAGTCATCAATTCAGAGTTAGCCTACGCTAATATTCCTATTTTCCTTGTTTTTTCTGCATCAGTAAACGCATGTCTAACAGATAACCCTTCAATACCATGTCTGCAAACTATTAGATTTCACCTTCGGCGACCCTATCCAATATTCTGCAGTAATTTTCTTCGTCTCTTTTTCCTTATTTATCGTATCTTTAATAATGTTTCAATTGGCTTTTATGTAATAAATGATATCAATTACATAAACTCTTATACGAGTACATTCTAATGAATGAGTTAGTGATATAGTATATTACAGAGTACTTTACCGTAACTTCTTCAAACATTTTTGAGAACACAACTAGCCAAGAAAAACGGTATTTTCTTATTTGGGAAGAACAATTGACGACATCCCGATACATCAATAACAAAGTACTTTGATACTATTAATAGTTAGTATAATTTTTCTCTTACCCTGGGCATTGTTTGTGAGTCATCCAAATGCAGTCCCCCCACTTCCACTAGTGCAGGTACCAATGGTCGAACTTCGTTTATACTGAAATGACTGTTGGACAACACTAGACTGTAATTCTTAGCTAATTCTTCCAACTTCGGTCCAGGACCAAATAGACGATCCGCTATCAGCTGTAACAATAACTTGTTTTTTGTATCTGTGACGGATATTATAGATTGAAAATATAAATAAAAAAAATAAGTTACCTGCGATGGCATTTGCGATTTGTATTGGTACAAAAGCTTAGACCATAAAACCGCTAATGTGTTCATCATCCGTTCCCATAGCGACATTTGCTGTCCGTAACTCATCATATAAGCTGGTACATAAGATGTTGCTTCTGGATTACCCAGTTGTTCGTTTACCCATGGTAGGGGTACGCTTGATAGTACTCCGACTATTGGAGCTTGAAACCTTCTACCGAATGGTAAAAAGCATTCGCTTCCGAACACTTCCACGATAACCAGGTCAAAACTGAGCGTAGAATTCACTAAAGCTTTAACTGCGGGTAGCTGAGAAACTGTCTCGCAAGCGTGGACGCATTCTTTCATTATCTGCTCCAAGTTTCGAATAAAGTGTGGTTTCAAAGTGTTATGTTGTCTCGTCAAATTGTTGGTTATTTCCGGGATCGTACCGGCCAGACTTATTTCTTCTACATTCGGTGGTGGGTTTTTCTGGAACAATTACTTAATAATAATAAATGTACAGAGAACAATATTTTTTAATTAGTAAAAGATATTGTTATCTATATCTTTACTTCTATAATTAATATTATAAAGAGACAAGAAATACATCAAAAACTACTGGCCCGATTTCGAATTCTTTCACCATTAAAAAGCTACGTTATCAATAAGTAAAATAGGCTGTTTTGTTTATTTTTCTTAATTCCACACGCACTTTAATAAAACGGTGGTGGAC